TCTCATTCAGTAATTTTCTGTTGAATTTAACTGAGAGAATTCATTTTGATTGTTTGTGTATATTATACCGAATGTTTTTTATTGAAGAGAAAATACTTTTCATTATATTAATAGTTACTAATTGTTACTAATTACATGATGTTGGGGGAAGTCATGTAATTTCTTTGAGTTTTATCATTTCTAAAGCTCAAGATAATACTTTCCTCATAGATATTAATTAAAGATTACATATTAATGAAAGATGAAGGATGAAATGAGATATGACATTAAAAATTTCTACTGTAGCTTGTGACACAAAGTATGCATTCCATAAATACTAACTGAGATAATGGCAATATTCTAAGAACTTTGGTAAGATTCATGCTTTATAAATTTTATTGATTATAAATTGGTGAGTAGCTAACATTCTGAATTCAGTTCCCCTTTATTTAAGAAGTTAATGTCACCTTTGTGCAAATTTATGAGCTGAAGGCATTATATTAATCTTAGGCAAAACTCTACAATCAACTTGATTCTAGTTATGGATTCCCTACAAATCATGTATTTGAATGTACATGGTTTTAAAATATGATAGAATTAAACCACAGTACTTTTTATTATTGTTTCTTCTTATTATAATATATTATATATTCTTATTATTATTTTATTATTATTTCTTATATTTTAAATATGTGAAATAAGTTGATTCCAATGTTTTCATGCATTGACTATGAATAACAATGTCTAGCCAAATTGTGATTACTACACAGTAAAAGCACATTTTTTGCAAAATTTCTCCCATTGCCACTAGCATGGACTTGTGTTGGGATGTCAGTGCTGTTTTTAAAAACTTTTATTTCCATTTCGCTTTGCATAATGAGCTGAATTCCTGAAATGCTTACCAATGTAACTCTTGCCTAACAGCTCAATTAATATTGTAGAAATGCTCCATCATTCTCAAATGAAGAACATTTTCAAGTCAGTCATTTTTTAATTATGATTCTGTGGTGTGTACGAATGGTGTGTATGTGTGTGTGTGTGTGTGTGTGTGTGTGTGTGTGGTGAGGGTGCCCAAACCTGCTATCTGACTAAAATACAGGGTGATCTTACTAAATACATAGGCAGCTTCTTGATATTAGGAATAAGAATTTTGTTGTTGTTGTTGTGCTGTTTCTGTCCTAAGTCATGAAAGCAGCCTTTCAACAAATTTTTAAATACAGGCTGCTGACTTCCATTCAGACCTGCAGGCTGCAAGGAGGAAGATTTAAGCTTCTGTTCATAATTTTGTGTTTCCACGAAAGTACAAAAGGAAGGAAGGAAGGAAGGAAGGAAGGAAGGAAGGAAGGAAGGAAGGTGAAGTTACTACTCCTAGTCCCTTATGCTTGATTTTTTCCTTAACCTCTTTATTCTTCTGCTCTTTCAGCATAGTTGTTTTTATATCTATAATATAGGTGAGTCACTTTAACTTTTAGTGATTTAAGTGTGTGGGTGCAACCTCTCCCTGGAGAAAGAAAATTGACCTTTTCAAGGTAGGGAAAGTTCTGGAAATTTTCAATGGACACAGGATGTGTTGTAACAGGGCTGGAGGTGGCAAGGTGGGGAGAGAAGAACTAGCAGAACTAGAAGAGAAAAAAAGAAAGTAGAGGCAGCGGTATTGGAAGGCCAGAAATTAAAATTTGTGTGGAGATGGGAGATGAACTAGAAAACACATAGTTTTATTAAATCTTAGGCTCTTTTTGTTCCCCCAGTCAGTGCAACTGTCTCCAGCTGTATCTACTGAAAGAGAGAGATTGAGATGTGAAAAGTGGCATGTGTAAAGCTGGGTTGCTGGGTTCTCCCCACCATGGTTTCTCAGGTGAGTGTAGGATGGGGGTGGGAGGCTGGTCTGGGGCTCTTCTAGGTTCCTTGAAAACAACCTTTGCATCTTCTGTACTTAGTATTAAAGTATCTTACCATTTTTCCCCTAGTCTTGACTTCCCATTAAAGGACAAAGGCATAGAGTGTTTTAGTTGGGCTCCTTATTTTCAGCACCCCCCACCCCCTACCCAGTCCAGGCCAGCTGGGGGTGGAGAAACCACCTGGAAGGTGAACCTGGAGAGGGGTTGGAGGTGGGGAGGGGGTTGGAGGTGGGGGGTGAGCACAAGGTGTGAGCCTGCTTGAGGGGACCTGACTGGTACATTCCAAACTTGCCAGACAGAACCAATCTGGAATGGGATGGTAAGAATTGATCACTTTTGCAATAATTGTAGAATTTTGAGATTCTCCCGATTGTTGTCTGATTGGTTGCTCACAATAATACTCCCCAGACCCTGTAAACATTTTTTTTTCCAGACTTTTATTTATTTTATTTTTATTTTTTTGGTAACTTTATTTATTTATTTTTAATTTAAATTCAATTAACATATAATGGTGTTATTTATTTCAAGGATACAGGTGTGTGATTCATCAGTCTTATATAATACCCAGTGCTCATTACAACACATGCCCTTCCCAATGGCCATCACCTGGTTACCCCATCCCCCACCCCCACCCTACCCCCTCCAGCAACCCTCAGTTTGTTTCCTAAGATTAAGAGTTTTTTATGGTTTGTCTCCTTCTCTGGTTTCATCTTGTTTCATTTTTTCCTCTCTCCCCCTATGATCCTCTGCCTTGTTCTTAATTTTTTCAACATCCTTTATATTTTTCCTTAGAAGCTTCCTACCCAACCTCAAGTTGGTTATAGGCAAATTTTAGTCAAGTTTCAAAATGAAGAGTAAATTTTCTGTTCCCCTCTTATAACAAAAAGACAAGGAAATATGTGGTATAGATCTAAATACATGAGCGATATTTAATAGTTATATCTTCTGATAGTGAGCTTTCAAATTAGTTCTCATGATTTGTGGGCTGTATTAGTTTATAAGGGCTGCCATAACAAAATGCCAGAGACCAGGGCTGCTTAAACAACAGAAATTTATTTCTTTCAGTCCCAGAGGCTAGAAGGTCAAGATCAAGGGGTCTAAAGGGTTGATTTCTTCTTAGTCCTCTTTCTTTGGCTTGGGGATAGCTGCCTTGCTGTGTTCTCACATGGTCTTTCCTCTGTGCATGATGTCTGTGTCCTAATCCCTTCTTACCAGTCAAATGGATTAAGGTCTGGTCTAATGACCCCATTTTCACTTAGTTACTTTGTAAAACAAAGGCTCTGTCTCTAGCCACATTCTGAGGTACTAGGTATTGGGGCTTCCAAACAGGAATTTTGGTGAAGCATAATTCAGCCCATAATTATGGACCACTTCTCAATGTTTTAGACTTAGAAAAAAGGATTTTCTTGTATCTGTACTTGAAATGTGAGGTGGAGAAATTCAGCCTGGTATCTCATTAAGTAAAACATAATTATTGAACGGTGAGTTAGATGTGTGGAATACAGTGTTTAGTGCATGTGTAAGATAAAAGCCTAAGATAGACGCTTTTCCTTCAAGGAGTAAATGTTTGAACCGACAAAACCAGATAATGGAGAAAATTTTAATTTAAACTTCCATTTTCTAGATAATTGCTCAGTCATACTCTTTATGAGTTTGAGGCCCTTTTGGTTTTCCTGAGTTCTTCCTTTAATAGGAGACATTAAGAACTTGCTAAAGAAGCCTGTTTAGCAGAGCCTATTATGTTGGAAGCATTGGAGTTTTTTGTTGTGTGCTTTCTGAATTTTTTTCAGTCCCAAAGGTGCTAACTTTTAAAAATGAATTATTGTTCTTAAAAGCAACTTTTTAGTTTGATACTGTTATTTTTAGTATGACTCAGCCTCTGATGTGCTTATAATGTTGGCCCTGCAAACTTGAAATTGTTCATTATGCAGCCAAGTCTTCACAGCAAGTTCTGTGGGTGATTTACTGTAAGAACCACTAAGAATTTCGTTTTGTCCTAGTTGGCAAGTTCTCTGTTTAATTGTGTTCTTTTTAAAAATACTGTCATTACTGAGCCAGTAATTGAGAACATAAATCCAAGTTTCCTTTGGAAATAATTTTACTGAATTTAAATTTGGCAAGAAACATATTTTATAATCATTCACTCAACTTCATGTTTCATACCCCAGTAAATCATCCTGAATTAACATTATCTATTAAGATAAACTGGGATTACTCTCCCTAAAATGATATAACCAGAGATGTCTCCAAATTAAATTGTACTTTTCAGATCCCACTTAGGTATAAAATCCTTTACTTGCTGCTGAGATTCAGAGGTGGGTAATCATTGTTTTACATGAGCTTTCAACACAGTGAGGAGGCAATTTGTCAGAGTGAATTTCTGTAGCACAACGTACCAAATTCTATGGTGTAGGACAAAGCACGATAGGAGCACACATGAGGAAGAGACTGTCACCAAGACAAGGAATACAAGGATGTCAAGGAAAATTTCACAGAAGAGGTAGCCTTCATACTAGGATTTGATAAAGAGTAGGCTTTTGACTGGAAGGCATGAAGAAAAAACATTGCCGGGGAAAGGAAAAGCATGAGTGAAGAACATACCTGCGAGAAAGGCAGGATGCATCCAGGGAATGAGAATCAGAGTTTGGCAGAAGAAGACTGGATATGGTAGAGATTAACTCAAAAGGTGAACTGAGTCAGATCCTAGACTGCCTTTTCTTCAAATATCTCATATGTCATCTGAAAAGTTTACGTGTTATTCTGTAAGTAATGGGGACCTTGTTAAGGTTTGTATCCTGGAGCTGGAGTTGGTCAGCAATTCAGTGTCATCAAAAAGACAGCTCTGATGGAATTATGAAGAATCAGTATTTGAGGGATAAGGAGGAAGACTGGGACAGGAGAATTAGGGACAGTAGGGTGCAGGAGCCAATTGGAAGGAAAAGTGAAACCTGAAATCTGAAAAAGACAATGGCAATGAAACAAAAGCAAGGATCAGAAAAATCTTGTCCAATTGGGGTCAATGTTGCTTCACTGTTCATGGAATTATATGAAAGACTATTGACCCTTCTAACCCCAAGATTCTATGAGTTAGGCTTCTGTGATCACATAAGAACACTACATTCCAGAGTAGAGCATTTTCCTACAAGTGTAAGTACATATAAGGACATTTCAGATATATCTATACATATTTCAGAAGTGAAATCATCTCCTGCCCCACTTAATGTATTGGTTGAAAGGGGGATGATTAGATCTACTTACTTGAGCACAACCTAATGATATGTTTTTGATGTATATCCAGTATGAAGATATGGTAATGTTTATCAGGGTTGTTTCCCTAAATAGTTGTTATATATTCAAGGCCTGCATACTTGTGTGTGTGTGTGTGTTTTTAAGATTTTATTTGTTTATTTGACAGACAGAGATCACAAGTAGGTGGAGAGGCAGGCAGAAGAGTGGGGGAAGTAGGCTTCCCACTGAGCAGAGAGACCGATGCGGGGCTCGATCCCAGGACCCTGAGATCATGACCTGAGCCGAAGGCAGAGGCTTTAACCCACTGAACCACCCAGGCCCCCTATACTTGTGTTTACAGGACACCATTTTAGTTTCTGTTAGTGAACTCAGAATAAGATTTTTTTTAAAAGAATTTGTATTTATTTATTTGAAAGAGAGAGAGCATAAGCAGGCAGAGTAGCAGGTAGAGGCAGAGTTGGAAAAGTAGTTTCCCCACTGAGCAAGGAGCCAGACATGGGGCTCAATCCCAGGACCCTAGGATCATGACTCAAGCCAAAGGCAGTCGCTTAACCTACTGAGTCACCCAGGTGCCCCAGAATAAGGTCTTGGTAGAAAATTGAGAAATAAAACTATGAAAGAACTAGAGAAGGAAAGGAAACATAATCAAATAACATGATACAGAAGATACTGAATTGTGGGATTAATATAGAAGATACTAAATTGCTGAATAAATTCTCATTGTTTATCAAGTTCCAAGGAGTTTGTGTAGGTGTAAATTAAAGAAATATACCGTGGAAGAAGTAAGCAGACAGTTAGACATATGGCAGGGTTGGCAGAAAAAAATGAAATGGTATTCAGGTGGAGAACATGCATTTTGCAGCATTTATAGGTATCCCACATGTCTTATCCTTAATAGGTAAGTGCATCATTACTGGTTTTTACTTATTTTATTTGCCAAATATTATATGCCACTTGTATTCATTCAACTGAAACTTGTAACAAACAACCAAATGAAGTAGGTGGTTGTCTTATTTCCATTTTACAGATGGAACAACACAGAAAAGGGGCAACACAGAGAAGTTAAGCAATTAGCCCACAGTAACACAGCTGATAAGTAGCAGAGCCAAGGACTCCAGACAGTCTGACTCCAAAGTCCATGTTCTTAACCAACATATTATGCTGCCTTTCTGAGTTTGAAGGTGGGAGAGAAAGTAATGCTTTTAAATGCTATAGCTTAATCTAGAAGAACATCAACAGGACTTTGACAATTATTTGTGCTAACTTATACATGTAAATGCCAGTTGAAAACTGTTGTAACACTTTATATTTGTCCATTTCCTTTATGGCTGATGGTTATTTCATTCATATTGTTAGGTAACAGGGATGCAAAGATTAGACATGGTTCCTGCTTTCAAGAAATACATGGTCTAGAGGAAGAATAAAATAAGGATATCAAATGGTTTAATAGAGAGTGATTAAGAACTGGGTTAACAATACAAATAGACTATCATGTAAGCACAGATATTGGACATTTAAATCATAGTGTATCAGAGAAAGCTTCCCCGAAGAGATGTTATTTGTCTTGGGTCTTAAAGGATGAATAGAACTTAGAAATACAGGGAATTGAAGAACAACTTTGCAGGCAGTGGGAAACAGCAGAAGCCAAGCAACAAGTAAAGAAAATACAACACATTTGAGTAACTGCAAGTTGTTCTTCAGGACCAGGGTATCATGTATACATGAGGAAGAAGCAGATGAGGTTAAAAACTTGGAGGCCAAACCATGATTCTTACATGAGAAATCAAGAAGCTTGGCCCTTTCTCCTGAAAGCTGTAGGGAGAGATTGAAGCCTTAATCAGGGAGGTGTGGGGTGTGTGTGTGTGTGTGTGTGTGTGTGTGTGTGTGTGTGTTTTCTTGAGAAAATAAGTCAGACAAATGTGAATGACAAAATGGAAGATAGAATGGATCAAATGTATACACATATTTTGGAACTATTGCAATAAACCAGGCAACAAGTTATGGAACCCTAAACAGAAGCAATAGCAATGTGAATAGATATGAGGAGAAAAACTGAGAGGATATGTAAGATGTAGCAAACACAAGATAAAGATTGTGTGCATTTAGGGAGGGGATAAGAGGGAGTTTTTCCACAGAGTGGTGACCAAATCCTGGTTTGGGGAATAGCTTCATCAGAATGGCTTAAAAAAATAGTGTCTTTATCTTCCCCTCCATAAATCCTGACTTAGCAGGCCTGGGGTAGCAACGGGACATCTGTACTCCTTGGAAATTTCTGAGTTGATTCTGCAGTAACAAGGATTGTTATTGCAATGCCTAAGTTTATGGACTGGATGCCCATAAATATGAGATAATATGATAATAAAGGTTGAAAGAGACTTTTGACTGAGGGAGAAGAAGGATGTGGACAAGTTTACTTTTAGATCTAATTTGGGCTACCTGTAGGAAATCTGGGTTGAGCTAGGAATATTGGTTTGGAACTCAAAAGAGAGATTTTGTTTGAAAATAGATGGTGGTAGATGAAGCTATGAGTTTGGGAGGTCATCCCAAAGGATGTATGGAATAATGAAAAAGATGGCCTGAGCCCTTAGAAACACTAAGGATGAGGAACACTTCCCTCTCTCAAGTATTTAGGGAGTAATTGGAGGAAGAAGGAATCTTCAGAGAGTAACAAAATGGGACTGTTGTCATAGAAACCAAGAGAGGTCAGAGTTTCCGTAGATAGGAGTGGTCAACATGAATAAGAATTATAGACATTCAAATAAGGTAAAAAGAGCAGAAAAGGGGTCACTAATTGATAAGATGGTGACCCTGGTGGCCTATGAGAGTGGCTCTAGTAACAGAGTATAGAAGGAAGCCAAATGATGGTAAATTAAAAAGGAAAAGAAATGTAAGAAATTAGAAACCCTAAGTAAAGATGAGCATTTTAAGAAATGTGTCAATCAGGGAAGATGAGAGAGAATAACAGCTAGTCAGGTTAGGGGAAGAATTTTTTTTCTTTTTTAAAACTAGAAGAGGGGGCGCCTGGGTGGCTCAGTGGGTTGGGGCCTCTGCCTTCGGCTCGGGTCATGATCCTGGGGTCCTGGGATCGAGCCCCACATCAGGCTCTCTGCTCAAGAGGGATCCTGCTTCCCCCTCTCTGCTTGCCTCTTTGCCTACTTGTGATCTCTCCTTCTGTCAAGTGAAGGAATAAAATCTTAAAAAAAAAAAAACAAAACTAGAAGAGGTGTGAGAATGCTAAGGAGAAGAAATTGTGAAGAAAAGAGATTGACAGATTCCAGAGAGAGGGTGCAAACAGTGGAGGTAATTCTTTTAGGAGCACAGAGGTAATAGAGTCTAGAATACCCTGGGAGGGATTAACTATGGATGGGAGAGACAACACTTCCATTAAAATTAAAATACAAGTAAGATGCAAATGGATGCAGATAAGACTTTGGCACAAGAAAGGGGAGTTGAAGTTCTTACTTGATGGTCTCTGTTTTCTTTCTTTCTTTTTCTTTTTAAAAAAATCTTATTATTTATTTATTTTATTTTAGAGAGGGAGGGGGGGCACTCACAAGCAGGGGCCAGAGGAGGAGCAGAGGGAGAGAATCTCAAGTGGAAACTGTATTGAGCATGGAGCCCACAGGTGCTTGATCTCACAACCCTGAGATCATGACCTGATCCAAAACCAAGAGTCAGTTGTTTAAGCAACTGAGCCACCCAGGAGCCCGATGGTCTTTTGTCTTCTTAGTGATAGAGGAGAGCCCATCTGCCTTGCTCAGGAAGATAATGTCTGCCAGGGACCAACTTCCTCAGTAGATTTGGTGGAAAGCGTAGCACAGAATTTCTCAGGTAATACAGTTAAATAACCAAATGAGGAAATAACAATTAAATGTTTACCATCTGATGATAGTATATGGTCAGAAATAGAATTAAGTAGAATATGTGCTCATAGAGATAGAAGTATGAAGTAGAAGTATGAAGTAGAAGTATGAAACCAACATTCAGGTTTAAAGTAGACATTATAATTTAAAAAAAGGAATCAAGAAAGGACTAAAACACAGAGTTATATTGAGGAACACGAAATACAGTATTTTGCATTAAAGGATTAGTTTTTAGTTTATGCAGAACAGTTTGAATATGTCATTGTATTAGACCTGCCTGATGCTCCTTTGCTCTCAGTGTTTATTTGAAGAGATATAGCTAAGCCCTTGGTATCCTTGTTTTAATGATGAAAGCAAGCAAGTTAGTCTGTAGTGTTTCCTCCCCTCTACTTTGTCCCAGGGCCATTTATCCATTAGAAGCCATTGGCACACTGCCTAAGACCTACAAAAACATTTGGAAACTGAAAAAAAAAATTATATAGGCTTCAAAATATGAACTACAAAATAAAACTCCAAAACTAAAATTAATAAAATTCTGTCAATTTCATTAATGGTCAAATTTAGTATTCATGAAACTGTCACTGACACTTAAAAATCACTTGTTGCTTGAATTTTCTCACTTCAAGAAAACCTTGTGACATGCACAGTGATTTGCTAGAAATCATACCATACCTAAGTAATTTACCATAGCAAAATAATTTTAAATAAAAAACAATTCCTTTAAATTACATCTGTGTGTGTGTGTGTGAGTGTGTGTATAAAAGGTGAAGATATGGTGCATCCTAAAAATGTCTGGTGTGATGTTGAAGATGTATAACAAGGACATATTATTCTCTAAAAAGACCTGCTTTCTGTTCCCTCTCACAAGTAAGCTGTGTGCCTCAGTTGTCCCTTGTATAATTTATCTCTTCCCCAAACTGGGAAACCCATTCACTTCAGTATTATAGTTCTTGCAGTTATTTGCCTTTCTATTCCTTATTGAAAAATTAAAATCTTTGTCCCCAATAAAAGAAATTTTGGTGAGGGATATGGGAGCCTTCTCTACGCCCTTGAACTCATATTATGCTTTAAGGAAAAAACAGAAACTAAAATTCCTTCAGTTGTTTCTAGGATCTATGAGAGGACTGGTTCCTAGATTGGAGAAGACAACACATAGTATCCAGATAATCTAGATTCTCTTCTAAAATCTGTCCCGTACTCTTCAATAGGAGACTTAGAAAGTTTGAGGTACTCATAATTGTGCTAACACACTTGCCTACGTATTCCCTCTCCAATCTGCAACTTCAGGTTATATGGTTTGTTAACAAGGCAAACAATCCGCCTGCAGCCCCATGGCCCAGAAGAGTCCAAGAGTAGAAAAAAGAAAGCAAGTACTAAATAATGTGAGCTTTTGGCATAGAATCCTTAATCCCTGTCTTTTCATGCATTATTGTTTTGGGAAACATTGATTGAATAATATATAATATCGGAGAAATAGCGTAGATATTTTTGAGCTTGGAAGAACCTTAGTGTTGACATTGATGTTCCTTGGAAATATTGAGGAATTTAGTACTTTCTGTGAACCATACAGTGTTTACATTTAAATGCCACTGGAGCACGTTCAATCCACTGAGCAAAAATCTAGATGGAGCTTTGGGTTAACGTTTGCCTCTACTCTACTCCTAGCTATTTGTAGTGCATTGCAAAGGTACTTTGTGTCCTGATGTCTAACATTTAGGTCCCCAAGCCTAATACGAGCTGCCTGACCCCAGATGTAATATTCAGCAATATTAATTGACGAGAGATTTTGAGTTATCAGGAGAATAGGATTCATCCAGCTTGGCAGCCGCTCTCTCTGTGTGACTGATCACTTTCTAAGTGTATTAATGTGTATCTAAGTGTATTAATAGTCTTGGATCATTGACTAATTTAATTTGAATGCAATTAATTATACAAATGTGAACTCTTCACATTTACTTTCATTAAAATTATATCACAACAAAAAGAAAATAGGTATAAATCAAGCCACGTGTCCTTGCTTCAAGTATGAGTCACATCATACATTTTAACTTTCCTAAAGTCCACACACATCTGGGAGTTCTGATCATGTGACCTTCTGTCTAAAAAAACTTGGCTACCTCTATAATCCCATTTTTATTCCATAATCTATACAGTTCTCTTTTGTACCCCAAATAGTAATGTAAATGTGGGTCTCTTATGCCTAACTAATCAAATTATATGTTTAAATTTTATTTGTTTTGGAGATTTCTTCTCTTTTCTCCTTTTTAAATAGGAATTTACTGACAGAAAATGGCAGAAAAAATCTTAGAGAAGTTAGATATTCTGGATGAGCAGGCAAAGATACTCTTGGCCAGAAGAGCAAAGGTTTGTAAATGAAAGCTAAAATTAAATTTAATCATTAAAATATTATTATTTCAAGTATGAACGATTTTTAATTTTTAGTTAATGATGCATTAATTTGGAGATATAAGTTAATTTGTAAAAAGCAAATAATTATATTAGTTCAAAAAGTAGACCATGTCAGTGCCTACTATAAAGAATTAATTAGATATACAAAGTAACTTCTGGATAACTGCCATATTTTTTTTTTCTTTCAAGATTTCATTTAAATGCAGGTGAGTTAACACATAGTGTATTATTAGTTTCAGGATAGAGTTCAGTGATTCATCAGGTGCATATAACACCCAGCGCTCATTTCAACAAGTGCCCTCCTTAATGCCCGTCATCTAGTTACCCAAAAGCCACCTCCCTTCCAGCAACTGTCAGTTGTTTCCTAAAGTTAAGAGTCTCAATGGTTTGTCTCCCTCTCTGTTTTCCTCCTGTTTTATTTTTCCTTCCCTTCTCCTATGTTCGTGTGTTTTGCTTCTTAAGTTCCACATGAGTGAAATCATATGGTATTTGTCTTTCTCTGACTGACTTATTTGGCTTAGCATAATATTCACTCTAACTCCATTCACATTGTTGCAAATGGCAAGATTTCATTCTTTTTGTTGGCTGAGTAATATTCCATTGTCGTATATGGGTATGTTTCTCTCTATGTATATATATATATCCATTCATCAGTTGATGGACATTTGGGCTCTTTTCATATTTTGACTATTGGATAGCTGTCATATTATATTAGGTTAATGTATCTAAGGTGATGAAGATAAAAAAAATCAAATAGGCAGTCAAATAGTGAATATGACTACTATAGTTCTCACTCATATTTTCTAACATATAAAAAGTTATTTAATTGGTTTATTAAAAAGAAGAAAATATTTGGTATAGTTACCAAATTAACAATAAAACTCATAAAATTAAAAAAGGTGGGACTTTTATAAAATTCAATAAAAATATTAATAAGGAATATAGTTTTGGGGATGCTAGGTGGCTCAGTTGATTGAGCATCAAGCTTGGTTTCAGCTCAGGCCATGACTCCTTGGTAGTGGATGGAGCCCTGCATCTGGCTCCCTGCTCAGCAGGAGTCTGCTTCCCCTCTCCCTCTTCCTTTTCCCCTGCCCCTCCGCCCTTATGTGCTCTCTCTCACAAATAAGTAAATAAATCTTAAAAAAAAAAAGAATATAATTTTAAGAACCAGGTTCTTAGCATATATGATCAATGTAATTTGGTTACATGAAAATTTGCAAAATAATATAACAATGTGGGTAAATGAAACATAAAGAGCATCAAATCCAAGAAATCAAGGAAAACAGCACAGAGAGGAATTCTAAAGTGACTGAACATATTTGTGAACCTGAAAATGAAGATTTTGATGCTTGAATAGAAATTTGATTTTCTTTTATTCAGAAAATAGAGAAATATAGAAAAAACAGTAAATTTATTCTGTTATCATTACCCAAATTTTGAAATTGCAAACTAGGAGTAACTTACTAAAGCAACCATATTGGACTTAAGCACTCCAGAGTTCTCTCTCTTTCATTTTTTGTTTAAAATGAAATGTACTGGGACGCCTGGGTGGCTCAGTGGGTTAAGCCTCTGCCTTTGACTCAGGTCATGATCTCAGAGTCCTGGGATCGAGTACCACATCGGGCTCTGCTCTGTGGAGAGCCTGCTTCCTCCTCTCTCTCTCTGCCTGCCTCTCTGACTACTTGTGATCTCTCTGTCAAATAAATAAATAAATTCTTTAAAAAAAAATGAAATGTACTTTAGAAAATATCAGAGTTAAATATGTTTAATTTGTCCTGAAATTCCCTTTTATATATGATTAGTCCTTGTAATTCTTACCTTTTACTAAAACTTCCTTTGTGCAAAGCATTTCAATGCATTTTCTTTTTCTTTTTTTTTTTTTAAGATTTTATTTATTTATTTGACAGAGAGAGATCACAAGTAGACGGAGAGGCAGGCAGAGAGAGAGAGAGAGAGAGAGGGAAGCAGGCTCCCTGCGGAGCAGAGAGCCCGATGCGGGACTCGATCCTAGGACCCTGAGATCATGACCTGAGCCGAAGGCAGCGGCTTAACCCACTGAGCCACCCAGGCGCCCGTTGGATAGTTCAATGCATTTTCTAATTTTGTGTTACTATGCCCAATTTATGTGTTACTGAGAGAGGATTCTCTGGATATTCTTTTGAAAGTATATATAATCAAAATGTAAACCTTTTCTTATTTTTTTAAAGTATAAAATTAAAACATACTTTTGGAAATAAGCAACAAACAAATATATATAAAAATTATACTTAAAGAAGGGCGCCTGAATGGCTCAGTTGGTTAAGGGTCTGCCTTCAGCTCATGTTATCATCCCAGGGTCCTAGAATCTGTCCCACATAGGGCTCCCTGCTCAAGGGGGAGCTTGCTTTTCCCTCTCCCGCTACCCCTGCTTTTGCACATCTTCTCGCTCTCACTCTCTCTCTCTCTTCCTCTGTCAAATAAATACGTAAAATCTTTTAAAAATTATACTAAAGGAAAATTACGTAAAGAACAATTGTCTCTGGCCTCTCTAACTCTTTCCTCTTGGGGCAAACAACACTTAGCAGTTTGGGTTTATCCATCCACATTTTCTTTTGTGCTCTCACAAAAGATATATAATACATAAAATACAAATAATACAAAAAATACAAAAATACAAAAAATATAAAAAATACATATAATACAAAAAATAATATAATACAAATATTATATATGTATGTATAAATCTATATATCTTCACATATACTCATAAATATGCAGTTGCACATACACATACATACATTTATGAAGGTGAATTGCCTCTATTTTCTTTTTTAATGACCAAAAGATGAGATAACAATATATAAATCACTTTGGCGCTTCTTTATTTTTTAAAAACTTTTTATTTTGAAATAATTATCAACTCATAGGAAGTGTCAGAAGGACTATAGAGAGTCCCATGTCCCTTTCACCCAGTTGCCCCCAGTGGTGACATCTTATACGGGTTGTGTACAGTATCAAAACCAGTATGAGTCCCAACCCATGTTAACACTCGTACATTGCTCGTAACCAGACTACAGACTTTATTTAGTTTTCACCTGTATTCATTTGTGTGTATAATTTTATTGATTTTTATCCTGTGATAGATTTGTATGATCACTACCACAATCAAGATCAGCACATTTTCATCACCATAAAGAAATCCCTCATGTTACTTCTCGGTATTTGTATCTATACCCCCACTCTACTCCCTGTCTACCCCTGGCAATGGCTAATCTGTTCTCCACCTCTATCACAGTAATTTTGAGGATGATATGTAAATGGAATGATTCAGTATGTGAAATTTTGAGATTGACTCTTCTTCACTAAGCATAATGCCCTTGAGGCCCATCTGAGTTTTTGCATGAATCAATAGCTTTGTTATTATAAATAATATATAGATTTTATTGCTGAGTAGTATGCCATTATATGGATGTACAGAGTTTCAATCACTCACCCACTGAAGGACATTTGGGTTGTTTTCAGTATTTTGCTTTTAAAAATAAAGCTACTTAAAAAAAAAAGCTTAAAAAGAGCTGCTCTGAATATTTGTGTACAGGTTTTTGTGTGAATGTAAATTTTCATTTCTCTAGGGTGGACACCCAAGAATGTAATTGTTGGGACAATTTCTGTCTCTTAAATTCAACCAGGTTAAGGGCCAAGGTTTGATGTGAGTTCCTCTTCCCTGTGTCTCAGTGTGGAAACTGCCTTTAATAAGCAAGCTGAGCTATTGTGGGATTTACCTCATTTGTTTCCCTTTTCTTGGGGATTATGGTTCTCCCCCCCACCCCCCCCACCCCCCACCCCGCCTGCTTTCTAATGCCTGATTACAGTTGTTTTCATATGTTTTGTCTGGTTTTCTAGTTATTTACAGCAGGAGGGCAATTCCTATAGCACTTAATCCTTCTTTGGCAGAAGCAAAAGTTCCTATCCTTTGACTTGCTTTCAAATTTTTCATCACTTTATTCCTCTATGCAGTGCTGGAGGTTTTTTTAGAAAAGATTTTGGCTCCTTAACTAACTCGTTAGCTATATCCTTTTCTCTCCTCAGTCCATTTCTATAAATATTTGAACAAAAACTTTTGATTGCTTTCTTAACTCTATTTCTGGCTCATGCAACTAGACAAATGTTGCAGTGATTCGCCTTGTTCGTGGGGACAGCAAGAGCAGCAGGTTGGAGACCATGTTGCTCTCCTTCCAATAACTCAATGTATGAGTATTGTCTTTGCTTAATTTACAGGTCGTTCTGAAATTCTAAATTTTAGAATTAGGAGGGAGCCTTCATGATCATCTCATCCAAAGTCTTCTCATTTCATGGTTGGGAAAAGAGCAGCTTAGGTCACACAGCAACAGCATTAAAAAATGTTGGTACACAAGGCCCCTAGTTTTCAATCTGTAATATTTCTCCATTATTGACTGGCACATGAATTCTGTCGTGTGTGCATAAAGTGAGACTAATTTCCTTCCTTTCCACACAGGATTTTCCCTCTATGAAAAGAGCTCATTTTTTCACAATGCTGTACTTTGGCTTTCCTGCAGAAAAACACGCTTCAGAGTCAAGGAAAGAAAAATACTTCAGTTACACCCCTGACGTTTGACTTTCAGTTAGAATTTGAAGAGGATATTGTTCCATTCATATCTAAGAAAGTACCCAAGATCACAGGAGACAATTTATACAGTATTAAAAAAGGAAAAAGGTAACCATCCTAACTACCTGAGACTTTCAGTTTGGAGTTTTAAAGCACTACTGTAGATTTGTCTTAGATTATGTAATTTGTTTTAAATGTAAGCTTTGTCTAACGCAGGTTATGTTTTATAGTGCTTATGAATTACAACATACTTGATCAGCATTCTGAATAGTCATCATTTACAAAATATTTATTATAATATTTTATTATTACAGATGGTAATTAGGTACTAATTACAATTCTGAATTTTTAAAGGAAGACTTGTCTTGAATTCTATTACATTACCCCAAATTAATGTTAGGTTTTATTTCAAGTTTTAGACCAACAGACTGACAAAAGAAGTCCACGTAGAAAATCAAGAGTCAGTTTCTCTGCGTCCTTACAAGGGGTAGCCTGAGTATGTCATACTTGGTTTTCCACTGGCATTCTGTATGTGCACTATGCCATTAATTTTTCTAGGTATCAGAAATGTAGAGGAGAGCCCAGGCAAAAGAAGTAATAAGATGTAGAATTACAGAACTTCAGTCGTACATTGGTGGTGGTGGTGGTGGGGACACTGTTCTTACCTCATTTATTCTGTATAACCATTCAGTGTGTTCAGTGAAGTTTTACAGATGAGGATTCCATCGGAGTGAGGTGAAATAACTTGCCCAAGGTCACACAGATAAGTGGCCCAAGCGGAATTTAAATTCTAGCAGTCTGATTTCAGAGCCTGTGCTCTCCATCATCACCACCCTGTTCCGAATGTAGAATGAGTTGGGGCTTCTGGGCTTGGTAGCTAGGTGTATTATCACACTCTATACTTAGGAGGAGAACATATTATGCAAAGCACATTGGGGTGGATAAGAGGATTACAGTGAGAAGAGCTAGGTTTTATTTTGGATATGTTAGGTTTTAGATGTCTGAAGGTTAATCAGAAGGCGGGGAGCATACTTCCAGGAAGCAACCCATTCTTGCAGCGAGTCCTCTTTAGCTATGACAAAATGATTGCTTAAATAACAGAGCACAAAGCAGAAAGTTTCTGTCCTCATATCAGCAATGCTCTCCTGGTTTCATTGATTATATTGGATAGATTCAGCTCCTCCATCTCTTGAGATGCAGTTCCTGGACTTATAAGTTATGGTAATTATAATTTAGGATACTAGTCTCCACCAGTGCTTGCAAACCTCGATCCTACACCGAGCTAAGGTGTCAGATCTAATTCATGCAGCTTTCAGCTTAACCTAAACTTTATGTCATAACTGCCCCCACCTGGACCAGTGACTTTCTGGTCACTGCAGGCCTCTTTCATTTCTGACCTCTAGCCTCTTTTTGATTCAAAGTGTGGTCTTCCATCCAGCAGCATCCTATCACCCCAGAACTTGGAAATGCAGAATGTCTGACCCCCTCCCAGACAGAAGCCGCTATTAACAAGATCCCCTCTGTGATTCCTGTGAACACTAATGGTAGAGAGGCACTGCTCTAGCCCAGTGAGTCTCAAACATGGAGGGCTCCTTAAAATGCAGATGCTGGGCTGCACCTGCAGAGCTTTTGATTCAATAGGTCTGGCTGGGGCCTGATTATTTGCATGTCTTTTTTTTTTTTTCCCCAGCATAACAGAATTCATTGTTTTTGCACCACATCCAGTGCTCCATGCAATCCGTGCCCTCTCTAATACCCACCACCTGGTTCCCCCAACCTCCCACCCCCTGCCCCTTCAAACCCCTCAGATTGTTTTTCAGAGTCTGTAGTCTCTCGTGGTTCACCATGTCTTTTGAGTCTCCAGGTAATGCTGGTGCTGCTGGGCCTGGAACCATCCTTTGAGCTCTGCTCTAGTTTATGTGCTACTCTAATCTTCCTGCCTGGCGCCAACATCTGTTCATTCTGATTTTTTCCCAGGGTTTGTTGAAAATCATAGCAACTATCAATCTCGTGCTGTGGTCACCTAATTTGTGAAACCTGCCCAGGTTTATTTGTAGCTGAGCTTTGCTTTCAGAATAGTAGTTTTTAACCCATCTGTCCATTAGTATTACCTGGGAGCTTTAAAATAATTGGGTTCTACTTTCATTAGTTTGGAGAGAAGCTCCGGCATTAATATTCTTAAGATTCCCCAGATGATTCTTACATAAAGCTGAGATTGAGAACCATTCAAATTCTTAGGGCTTCTTTCCCACTTGCCCCCAGAGACATGTTTTCCATGTTACTATTAGTTCAGGATTTCTGTATTTCTCTTGGATAAGTGGGAATTGATAAAATATTAAAAATATCTCTTGATTAATCTGTATATAGTCTCTAAGATTTCTCAGTAAACCCAAAACTACTCTTCTCTGCAACTTTTCACAATTGGATGTTTCATAATTGGATGTTTGTTATGACAAAATAGGCATACTCATTTTACCAAAATCCCTTTAAAAAATTACCTGACATCTACCCTGAAACAAATAATGTTATATGTTAATTTATTGAATTTAAATTTAAAAAATTAAAATTAAAATAAATTAATTAAAAATAAAAAATTACCTGGAATAAGGAATTTTTAAAAGAGAGACAAAGTGTTTTCTCCATTACCTAAGTATTTAGTACTGGATTATCAGCTGAAAATGGAAATTTTACCACTTATAAAGTGGTAAGAAATAGAAAACAAGTTAGGGGCAAAGAGACAGATTAAGAGTATTTAAATTGTCACTGAAAATTACAAGAGTACTGAGAATACAGTAAAAAAAAAAGAATATTTTTTTCTTTAGATTCATAGATTAATAGGAACTTCTCATTAGAAGAATTATTTTCCTAAAAATAGGGCGCCTGGGTGGCTCAGTCGTTAAGCATCTGCCTTCAGCTCAGGTCATGATCCCAGGGTCCTGGAATGGAGCTCTCTGCTCAGTGGGAAGCCTGCTTCTCCCTTTCCCAGTCCCCCCTGCTTGTGTTCCCTCTCTCACTGTGTCTTTATCAGATAAATAAATAAAATCTTCAAAAAAAAAAGAATTATTTCCCTAAAAATAAATCTACACTGAGACCTGTCAAAAGAATATTCCTTTTAGAAATAGTTTTATGACAATAGGATAAACTTGCATATAAAAAATTTAATTAAACATGAATAGAACATTCACTTGCAGCCTATAGTGAAATTTAATTGGCCAAATTCCTTGTTCCTTTAGTTTAATACTCTGTGTGACATTAGTTTGGCATAGAAATGAAGAGAATGAGGTTTATAGGCCAGTTGCCAGGTTTGTACTTAACTTTATTTCCTACTAGTTGTAACTTTGGACAAATTATATAACCTCTTTGTGCCTCAGTCTCTCCTTATGCCTCAGTTTCCTTGTCTTCTCATCATTATCCTGAGGATAATAATAGTATATATCCACAGGGTTGTTGTGTGAGTTAAGTGGATTAAAGTTAAATGGATGTGAAGAGTTTAAAATTCTCCAACATTCAGTAGGCACTCAAAAAAAAAAAAAAAACCCAGCTAATACAAATATAAGCTGTATTTTTGAAATATGCAGTCATATATTCCAGTCATTAAAAGTAAGATAGTAATGAGATATACAAGTCATGTTTACATATGGTAATCATTTCTAGAATCTTAGGTAAAGTAGAACTTACAGGTAAGTAAGGGGGGCGAGGTGGGAGCCGGAAGGATAGAGAAGAGGGAGAATTTTATGTGAGTGGAAACAGAGATTCATGCTTCACTTGCTGCTGCCCACACTCTTTCTCACTTATGTGGGCACAGGCTCCTTCAAGGTCCCACGAGGATTCTGGGAAGGTAACAGCCTCAACTCTAGCTCTCTGTGGGGAGAGTGTCACTACTGGGCTGAACATCCTTCTTCTCTGTAGCTGGAGAAGAACTCCTACTTATTGCTCATACCTGGAGAAACCTGACATTCTAGAGCAGAACTTCTCAACAGTGACTGCCTACTTGAGAGGTTTTGGAAAATATGCTGAGTCCTGCCTAGAGATTATGATTTAACTATTGGGGGAAAGTTGAGGTATCCAAACACCCTAGATGATTCTAATATACAGCTAGCAGTTTGAGAAACATTTCTAGAGGCCTCTTCATTTGTCACTCCCTTAGTCACCCTCTTAGAACAGCTTATTTGTGGCTGATACACGGCAAAAGAATCTTATCTCTCTCTGACTGATATTAACTGGGTCTCAAATAGCCTGACCTTTATAGGTGCTGAAGAACCCACATTCACTGAAATGAGAGGTCAAAGAGAAATCACAGGTCATTCATACGAAGGAGGGAGACAAAAACAAACAATCAGAACAGGTGACTCCTAATAAAGCAGATTATGGAAGAAACAGAAGAGAACTTAAGAAAACATTTATCTTAAGGACACAATTAATCAGGGATTTAAAAATAAATGAAGGGATTTAAAAATATTTCTAAAACAAAAAGAGATTTAAGATAATATTTCTGGGGACTCCTAGGTGGCACAGTCAGTTAAGCATCCATCACGTGGTTTCGGCTCAGGTTATGACCTCAGGGTTATGAGATTGAGTCTTACATCAGGCTCCATACTCAGCACAGTCTCCTTAGGATTCTCCCTTTGTCTCCTTCCGCCCCTCCCCTTCCTCTCTCTCTCTCTCTCAAATAAATTAATCTTAAATATATATATATGTTTCTAAAGTCAAAAATTGAGTAGGAAAATGAAAATAAAATACAGGTGAAAACTGGATTGATAATCTAGAAGGTCAAATAGAGGCACAATCTGGAGAAAATAAAAAAAAAGAAATGGAAATCAGATTGAAAAGAGATACATAATAGGGTTTTAGGGTATTTGACCTATAAATATATACTTAATACATAAATCAGGAAAGTAAGAAATATGGTAAGGAAATAAATACTAGGAAAAAATGCTCTTTTTTTGAAGACATACTTGAATTTTCAGATCAAAAAGGTTACCAAGTGCTAGACTTAGAGTATAATTATTTGATTATGTATTTAATTCCAAAGGCAGAAAGAATTGGTTAATAACAAAGGAAAGGAAAGCAAATGAGTTTCATACATCTCATCTAAAACTCTGAGGCTAGAAAATAATAAACTGGTCACCCTCTCTAAAACAAGGCACTATCCTTGTTTTAGAGAGGGTGATCAGATGATTTTTTACCCACAGCTGAGTAAAAAGTAACAAATAAATAGTCTGCATTCTACAAAGACACACCAATATTTGGGGCCAGACATTCCCCTCTTCTCCCAAGTAGCAGAAAACTGTAGTGGGGAGGGGGGCATACCAGAATTATGTCATTAACCTCACAGAGTCTGCAGTGGCTTTTCCTTCTCTTTTCAGTGTTGAAGGGAGCAGGGAGGCTTGGGGTTTCCTAAGGAATTACTTATAAAGACTGAGTTTTTCAAAAAGTAGAGTTTGCTGTCTCATTCTTCAGCTGCACACCTGTTAGCACACTTGCTGATTTGCCCTATGTCTAGCTATATAAAAACAAATTTGGAAGATGGAATGGGAGGAGAAATCAGAGCACACTGCATCCCATTGTTTGGCATGGCAAGGATGCTTGAGTTTCTGAAGGGGGAAAATGGACACTGAGGTTCTAACTAGGCTTGGGTCATTTTGCTGGTATCACATGCAGATTGCTGACTGCCAAGCTAGTGATCCTTAGCAAAAGAGTCTATGACATATACTGGAGGTAGAAGAGTTGAGGATGAATCTGAAGAGGTGTGGCTGAAGGAGGCTTTCCTTGGTTAGGGAACTGGTCTGTCTGAGAAACTATCACCCATGTCTCCTTAAAGAGTTAGGGTTTTTTTTTTTTTTTTTTTTTTTTTTTTTTTTGTCTTCTTCTTCTTCCAACTGTAAGGATTGCAATTTTTTGAGGGCAAGCACTATGTCAAATATAGAAATTCTGTGGTTCCTCTTCCTTTGGGACAAACACCATCTCCCACACCACCACCAAACCCCTAACACAGTGTTACTATATAAGCACACAGGAAAAGCTTTTTTTTTTTTCAATTGAAATATATTTGAGCTATAACATTGTATTTGTTTTATATATACAACATAATTATTTGATATATGTATATATTGTGAAATGATCACCACAATAAGTCTAGTTAATATCCATCACCATATCACATAGTTACAAACCCTAAAACCCTATTATGTATCCAAAAACACCTCTACATATTCTGGAAATGTATTTGAAAAATGACTTAGTAAGATAAGGCTAAAAAAATGATCTCCTTAACAAGACTGTATAGCCAACATCATCCTTAGGGTGTAACACTTGACACATTCCCATTTAAATTGGAAGCAGAATGGTGCCCAGTCTCACTATACTGCACTATTCTAGAAGTGCTTGCCAGTGATGTTAAATAAGAACATAAGACAAAAATGTAAGTATTTTTAAAAGAACAGATAAATCATTTTATGAAGATTAAATGATTATTTACAGAAAAATCCAAAGAAAATAAAATAAAATCTCTTTGGAAATATAAGATTATAAGAATGTTTAATAAAAATTTACCAGAACAGTTTGTGCACTCAACGTGTTATTACACATGTACTTACTATGTGTCAGTTACTGTTCTAGGTGATGGGTATACAACAGTGAGCAAAATAAACTCGCTCTCAATTTACATTTTAGGATAAGGTGAGGAGACAGATATTAAACTAAATAACAAGTGAATGTATAATATAAATCCACTAGTGATAAATGCTATGAAGAAAAATATAGTAAATTAAAGGAATTAAGATTGATAGGGATTACTATTTTAGATAGAGAAAGGGACAAAAAAGACCTTTCTGAAGTCATGGAAATTTGAGTAGAGTCTTAACAAAATTCTCTTTTACAACTTAAGGAAGTAACCTTTGGCAGTAGCCAGGGGAAGAATAGTGCAGGCAGAGGGATGAGCAAATACCAAGGTCCTTAAGTGGGAGCTTAAGTTCCTTTCTCATTAGACCAAAAATCTGGAAATTTCATTCTGCTTCAGCGTGAAGGCTGGGGGTTGTGTATGCACAGAGAGAGCCCTAAAGGGGCATTAAATGGAAGTTCCTCTACTTAGAAACATGAGCAATGGGGAAACAGTTTCTGTCTTGGAGTGAGAATTTTGAAACTTATTTGAGTTAGTAGGAAACAATGGGAGAGAACTATCATTACATTCATATTTTATGGATGCCACCATAGTTGTGCTGGGAATAGACTGTAGGGGATGAGTGATAGCAGAGAGAGCCAACAGAAGGCAAGAGACACATGGAAGTAGCTTGGATGGGAGGTGAAGGTGTCTTGGACTAGGGTAGAAGTAATGAGGAAAGTAGTAGTTGAATTTGGGATGTGTTTCAAAGAAAGATCCAGTGAGATTTCTCAGCAGTTGGGAATGGGAAGTGAGAGAAAGAGAAATCAAATATATTGTCAAGTTTTAGCCCAAGCTTCTGGTTGAATGGAGCTGGGGAAACCTCAAAGAGGAACAGATTGGGAAGGAAGCAAAAGCAAGGATTTGGTTTTCAATGTGTTAAGTTTGAGTTGCCTATAATATACCTAATGGCAGAAGTCATGTAGCAGTTGGATATATAAATCTGAAGCTCAGGGAAGAGTTTGAGGAATTATAAATTATAAATTATAATTATAAACCTGGGAGACATCAGTCTATAGGTAATATGTAAAGATGTGAGATTAGATATCAACTGAAGATGAGTTTCTGAGGTTGAATGACTGAGTCACAGCATTTAGTGGTCTGAAATATGAATTATGTAATATTTTATTATCATATATTACTTTTTAACTTTATTACATACCATCAATAGCCAGTTAAAGGATTTAGTGGAGAAAATGTCCTTTACAATAAATAAGTGCTGTCATCCTATTTGGTCTACTATTCTGGTGTCTGATCTGACCATAACTCTGTGTCTCATGACTTTAACTCAGGTCTGACAATGCCTCCAATATCTCATTTAATGAATTTCTAGCATATTTTTAAAAGGTTAATCAGCTTATGAAATATAGTTTTCTACAGTTCCCCCAATCCTATGACAACAACAGTTTCCTATCTGTCGGTACTTCAAGTGATTATCACCAATATTTTTATCTCCCAAGTTAGTCCCATCCTTTTACATTTTGTATTGTAGTATTATTAATACAATGACATCTAATCTATATTACTGGGACTTAACCACATTTCTCCAAATTTATTTTTTTAGATTAGTTTCATAGATTTTTCTGATTATTTTAATTTAGATTAATTTTATTTTTTCTAGGTATGTCTTCTTCAAAAATGAACCTGATCCTAGAAAGAGTGATTTCGAAAAGTTAAATTTAAGATCACACTTTATACCAACAAATATAAAAAACCAAGAAAGCAAGTCAATAGGTAATGCTCTGTGTAACATATTTACTTCTCCTTTAGTTTATTAATGAGTGCTTTGATTATATACTTTGTTATTTATTAATGTGTGTCTTAAAAGTTCTTGATAATTTGATGTCTCTGTTGAAAGAAATTGGTTCAAAGTATAGGGCTCATAACCATAGCATGAGAGATTTCAGTGAGCCAAAAAGGAGGATTTCCTAAGAGGAAGCGATGTTTAATACCAGAATGGGCAATTTATACAAGTCACAAATTAAGAATATATTTTAATGTTTATTTTTCTAGAAAGAAAATATCTAAGTTTCCTTTCGGGTCAACCCTTAGAGTTTTCTTGTTACTGTTAAAAAAAGAAATCAAGTATGGACATCTTGCTTAATAAAAACTTATTTTATAGAAACTATAAAGTAAAGGATCTTTCTTTGAAATTTAAGGAATCTGTAAGCTAGGAACTAATGCTGCAGGTCTTCAGAGAATTTGAGTTTTGTGTTGCCTTTGTTTTTCTTTCTCTGGGATTATCAAAGAACCATTCAATTCAAGGATTCAAAGAATCATTCTCATTGACCCCTTGGACTGAGGGTCCTTGACTCCACATTGCCTTATACTGCCTTATTTCTCTGAAACACTTAATCATCTAAATTCTCAAAGGATTTGTTTGCATACACTGTCTCTACTTCCTCAGCTTTTCTTCAAACTTCAGACAACTTCAGTCTGGTTTTTGCTTCCACCATTCTACTGAAGCTACTCTGATCAAGAGTACCAAAGATCTCCATTGCTAAGTACAAATAATATTTCTCTGCTTTCATTTTCTTCCACTTTTCAACACAAATATAGTTGGTTGATCACTCCCTCTTCCTTAAAACTCTCCTCTTTGGGATTTTGGAACCCATATATCCTGTTTTTCTGCTCTATCACTCTTCAGTCTCTCCTCTTAATTTATCTTCTCTATCATTAAAATAGTGTACAACTGACCCATGAATAGTGCTCATGGGGGTTAGAGGCACTGACTCCATTGCACAGTCAAAAATCTGCATATAACTTTTGATTCCCCCCAAACTTTACTAATAGCTACTGTTGACCAGAAGCCTTTCTAATAACATAAACACATATTTTGTGTATGTATTATTAAATGCTATATTCTTATAATAAAATATGCTAAAGAAAAATGTTATTAAGAAAATCATAAGGAAGAGAAAATGCATTTATATACTGTACTGTATCAAAAAAATCCATGGATAAATGGACTCGTAGTTCAAACCTAGGTCGTTCAAGGATCAACTGTATATCACAGTTTATTCTACTGTTGAAATTTTGGGTTTTTGGTTTGTCAGCCATTATAATGCTGAATGAACATGCTTGTTTATGCATCCTGCTGTATATGTGTTAAAACTTCTTGAGAGTGTATATCCAGGATTTATATTGCCAAGTATACTTATCCTCAACTACAATAAATACTGGCAAACTTTCCAAAGTAGTTGTACCAATCTGTACTCCCATCAGATTTGTGAGAGTTCTTTTTGTTCTGCTTTCTTGCTAACATTCAGAATTATCCTATTTTTATTTTGGTGCACATAATAGTATATGATTATGTTTTAATTTGCATTTCCATGATTACCACTAAGTTTGAGAACTTCTTCATAACACTAGGAATCAATTAAATTTACACTTTTAGAAATCGTTTGAGCTTTAGCTCATTTTATTTCCAAAATTTTATTTATTTATTTATTTGAGAGAAAGAGAGTCTGTGTGCATAAGAAGGGGGAGGGGCAGAGGGAGAGAAAGAAGTAGACTCCCTGCTGAGCACGGAGCCTAAAGCCGGGCTTGATGTGGGGCTTGATCCCAGGATCCTGAGCTCATGACCAGAGCTAGAATCAGACACTTAAGCAACTGAGCCACCTGTGCCCCTTAGTTCATTTTAAAAGTAGGTTTTTGTCCTTTTCTCATTGATTTATTTATATATTCTAGTCACTAGGTTTTGGTTGGTTTTATGTATCATGAATATCTTCTCTTTTCTCTCTTTCTCTTTTTCATTCTACAGTGTAGTAGTTTCATTCTACATTTTTTGATGAAATTCTTTGACTTTAATAAAGTCAAATATACCAGATCTTTCCCCCATTTGATAAGTATTTTTTGTTCCATACTTAAGAAATGTTTCTCTACTCTGTGGTCATGAAGACCTTCTCCTAGTTATCTTAGAAAAGACTTTAGTTTTTCTGTTTATGTTTAGGCCTAAACTCTACCCAGAATTAAATTTTGAGTGAGGTAAGGGTCAAATTTAATTTTTTTATGTGGATATGGGTATCTCAGCATGTAATTTAAAAGGCTATTCTTTCCCTAGTGCTCTGGGCTCTTTGCTCAGGGACTCTTATTCTGTTTCATTATTTGTCTATTTACCATTAATGTCATACCACATTAATATATGTAGCTTAAAATAACCATTGAATCTTGTAGAGCAAGTCTTCCAATTTTGTTCTCCAAGAATATCATGGATATTTTCTATTTTCCATTATGATTTTTTTTCTTACCCATTAGTTATTTAGAAGTATATGTCTCCACTCAAAGTACTTGAGATTTATCTTTTTTTTATTAAGATTTTTTTTTATTTGTCAGAGAGAGTGAGCACAAGCAGGGGGAGCAGCAGGCAAAGGGAGAAAGAGGCTCCCTGCTGAGCAGGGGGCCCATTGGGAGACTCCATCCCAGGATTTTGGGATCATGACCTAAGCCAAAAGCAGGTGCTTAACCGACTGAGCCATCTAGGCGTCCCTATTTGAGGCCTTTCTTTCTTTCTTTCTTTCTTTCTTTCTTTCTTTCTTTCTTTCTTTCTTCCTTCCTTCCTTCCTTCCTTCCTTCCTTCCTTTCTTTCTTTTCTTTCCTTTTTTTTTTTAAGATTTTATTATTTGATAGAGAGAGGCACAGCAAGAGAGGGGAACACAAGCAGGGGGAGTGGGAGAGGGGGAAGCAGGCTTCCCACTGAGCAGGGAGCCCAATGCAGGGCTTGATCCCAGGACCCTGGGATCTTGACCTGAGCCCAAGGCAGACAGCCAACGACTGAGCCACCCACGTGCCCCTATTGTAGGTTTTTCTAATTATCCTTTTGACTATAGCTTTTTAGCACAATTACATGGTTGTTTGAGGATACAGTCCATATGATTTCAGTCCTATGTAATTAGTTAATGTGTGTTTATCATTCACTATATTGTTAATTGTAAATGCTCTGTATGTGCTTGAAAATAATGTATATCCTACAGTAGTTGAGTACAGTGTTCTAAATATGTCTTTTAAGTCAAATTGGTAGCCTGTATTTTTCAACTCTTTTATATGCTTATTGATTTTTCTGTTTGCTCTTCTGATAATTTGTGAGAAATTTCAGACTTGCATTTTTCCTTGTAGTGTCAAATTTTGCTTTATAGATTTTTAATATCCTTTAGGCGATGTTATCAATTACATAAAATTTAAAATTATTATGTATCTAGTGAATTGAACCCTTCTTAATTATAAAGTAATTGTCCTATTATCTAATATTACTGTAGCTACCCCAGCTTTCTTTTGGCTACCATTACATGGTATATCTTTTCCCATCATTTTAATACCCTTTTATAACATTGTAATCTAGATTTATCTCTTGTAAATATCATACTATTAAATTTAATAATCTACTGTGGTAATCTTTGTCTTTGAAATGGAGCTCTTAGTCCATTTGTACTTAATGTCATTGCTGATATCTTTGGATTTAATTTGCCATCTTATTTTGTTCTTTATTTGCTCTTTTATTTCTATACTTCCCCCCCGTCTTCTCATGTTTTTCTCTAGGATTGAATTTTTTAAGTTTCACTTTTCCATTTATTAATTTGGAAGTTATATACTCTGTTTCTATTCTTTTTTAATTTTTTTATTCTATTATCTTTTTATTATGTCCAGTTAGCCAACATATAGTAAATAGTTACCCAATCTAGTCTTTTAAAATCTAGTATTACCCTCATTCTGGACAAAAAAAAAAAAGGATCTTAGAACACTTCAGTTATTTTACTGACATCTGACTTTTTATGTTATTGTTAAAATCCAGAGTTTTATCTAAATATTATGTAAATCAGACATGGATGAGACTCAAGGTATGATTCCTCTTGATGCAAAATTCCTCTCTACCTGTAAACCTTTGGAACCAACAATATGTGTACTTGCAAAATGCAAAGCTCAGACAAGCACAGAGTAGGCATTCTCATTCCAAAAGGGAGAAATAGAAAAGAAAGAAGGGGTGATGGGTCCTAAGCGAGTCCAACACCAGTGATTGGCACATAATAAGTGATCAATAAATAATTGTTGATTGAATGAATGCCAGATACTATTAAGTTTGTTACATCTATTATCTCCTTTAATCCTCACAGCACTCCTTTAAGGTAAGTGCCATTATTTCCCCTTAACAAATGAGAAAACTAAGGCTCACCAAAGTTAAATAACTCAACCCAAGGCTATAGGACTTATAGACAAAAATGTAGGGTATGGTCCCAGGCTATCTAAATCCAATGTCTGTACCTGTCTGTATGCAACCCATCTGTATGCTTGACTAAATCCATTAGAGGATAATCCAGATTAATACACAATTAGAGTTTGGGGGGGGATTCAGTTTGAGGGGAATACTTCTCTCTTCAAAGGAATAATGAGTGAAAAGATTCCTTTAATTATTGTGATTCCATTTTATTTAGAAATCCATTTTTTCCCCTGAAGATAGCACTTTGTCGTGTGTTCTGAGGTCATAGTTCTGACCTCCCGTAGTTTCTGATAAATAATCAGAAGTAAATAATCAAAAGTTGTATTCTGAGGGGAGATGGAGAGGAGAAGGGAGTTGAGGGAAATTGGAAGGGGAGGTGAACCATGAGAGACTATGGACTCTGAAAAACAATCTGAGGGTTTTGAAGGGGAGGGGGGTGGGGGGTTGGGGGAACCAGGTGGTGGGTATTAGAGAGGGCACGGATTGCATGGAGCACTGGGTGTGGTGCAAAAACAATGAATACTGTTATGCTGAAAAGAAATTAAAAAAAAAAGTTGTATTCTGTTAATAGAAACTCACTTTTAAAGCAAAATAGAATATATTTAGCTCTGAAAATATAAATGTAAAGCAACACAAGCACCTAAGTTTATCAAATTACATTACTAAAAAGTTTACTAGAAGTAGAGAAAATAGTTTATTGATAGTTAGAAGTAGTCAAATAGTATGGAAATATCATTTGTATTTATATTTGTTTCTTTAGAGCCTGTGAAAGAAAATCTGAAATCAAGATCATTTAGATCTTTTCTTTATCTTAAGGATACAGCTGAGGTAGGTTTAATTTGTCCACTTAACAGTTACTTGGTAGAAATTCAGATTAGCGCTGACAATTTTATGTATACTTCTGTAAGTCCCAAATTCAAATGTATTTTAGGATTAAAAATATAAAGTTTTAAAGCGATTTCATCTTTGATATTACTATGACTTTATGTACAGAGATAATACAGAAAATCATATATTATTTGCTTGACAGTCCATACAGCAGAAATTTTTTACCAAGTATGATAAGGAATAAGAGTTATCATAAAGTCAGTTAAAACAGGACATCATAAAAAAAACTCTACAAGCATAATTAAATATTTAATTTTAATTTAAAATATGAAAATGCAAATCCATTTGTAATCTTTTCATGTATAGCCAAGATCATTTTTTTTTGGAGCATGCTATGGTTATTTAAATTATATAATTACAGTAACAATTAACCATAAACAGGTTTGGGACCAATAATACTGACGTATTTTTGGAGTATAATTGAAGTATAATTGAAGTATTGAAGAGTAATACACAATGTAATTTGACAACAGTATTGACTCTTGATAACCATTTGAGCAGAAAAGTAGTTGACTAGCCTTGAGCATTGCGCATGCCTTGGATATTATTCATTAAGTTTTATCCAGGATACTAGAAAGAGAAGTTAACTAGAGAATCAGCAAGCAAAGTCATTTAAAAGAGTTTCCTAGGTATTAATTAATTTATTTTTAACCCTGATTATTGCTAACATGGAGAATGAAACATGAAGAAATACATACTTTGGACCATAATTAATGACATTATAATTTTTGTTGCATATTGCCACCTTTTATAATTTTTAAGAAGATTGACGGCATCCATTGTCTGGACTATTTTATCCTCAACTACATGTTTTATTTAGGTTCACATTTAAAAAAAAAATCTTTCAAGAAATATATATTGTAACATCAGGGACGCCTGGGTGGCTCAGTTGGTTGGGCGGCTGCCTTCGGCTCAGGTCATGATCCTGGCGTCCTGGGATTGAGTCCCACATCAGGCTCCTTGCTCAGCAGGGAGACTGCTTCTCCCTCTTCCTCTGCCTGCCTCTCTGTCTGACTGTGCTCGCTTGCTCTCTCTCCCTCTGTCCCTGACAAATAAATAAAATCTTAAAAAAAAAAAAATATATATATAGTAACATCATAAGTTTACTCATAATAATAAATTTATTACCATCTTTTAGAAAAATGTAACATTTTAATTTTTAAAAATTAAATTGAAATTTTCATATGAATATTAAAAATTAAATAATACAGAAAAGCTAATAAGAACACAAAGCACTTCCATCCTGTACTTTTTGTTCTAATTTTCCCTTTTTAAAGGTAACCATGTTTAACTTTTAGGGGGTTTTTAATTTCTCTTATGATTAACTCCATAATTTTAAAGAATGAGCTTCTACTACTATTTTTTTATTTATCTACTTTAAATATTACCTACTGAATAATCAGTAAAACATATTTGAATTAGCTTATTTACACTGCTCTACACTTCACTTCTCCCCATTTTTTCTTCTTTCTTTTTCTCTTTTTTTTCTCTTCTTTTTTCTTCTTTCTTTCCATTTTCTAGATACTTTTTTGCTTTCTCTGTTAACTTTTGCACCTATAAAATATCTAAATATTTTTTCTTTTGTTTCAACTTTAGTCATTAATTCCTATTCCCCTTTATATAAGATGAAGATTTTAGCAGTCCCATTCTTTTCTCCCACTCTCCTCCACACCTTCTTCCCCAAGTAAAGTATATCTTTACTTTTACATTATTGAGGTCAATGATTGTATCAACTTGCAATTCTGATGGAGCCCTCATGTTTTGTCTATAGGTTAATTTTAAAACTCAAAACTATAAATAATATCTATGTTACTGTGACATTGTAAATAATCATTCATTGTAGAACAAAGTAATGTGCTAGGATTACTGTTCTTCTCAATGGGTAAAATGTAAAAACAAAGGCTCCCTTTGTTTATTCTCCATCAGTTACTCAAAAAGCAATGCTATATGTTAGTCTGCCTCACACTGAGAATTTGACTGTCCTGTACACTTTTGTATTTTTTCCTGAATATTCTAGTTGGCTTTCTTTTTTTTCTTGTGGAGAATGATAATAATAGCAAACATCCATATAGTACTTACAGTACTTCTATAGTATATAAATGCATATATATGTGTATATATATATGTATGTGTGTATATGTATGTGTGTGTGTATAATTTACATCTCCAACAACTCAATGAAATAAGTACTATTTTTATTCCTATTTTATAGATGAGAAAGAAAGAGGCACAAAGAAGATAAGTAATTTGGCTGAGATCAAATTATAAAGAACAGAGCTAGGAAGAACCTAACAGTCTGATACATGCTCTTTACCTCTAAGATATGCAGCCTCTGAAAAAGAAACATGTAACTTTCTCATTATATGTGGATACAGTCAAGCTTCCTTATTTGTTCTCTCTATTGAGTAGAATCCATTGTTCGTTGGAGCTCAGTGACTTTTTGTTCTAAATTTGATCCATTATTCTTAAGCCTCCTCTGGAGTTGTCACTGGGTCATTCCATTCCTGGTTTAGTTGCCAGATTCTAGTACTCCATGTCTTATTCCTTCTTGGATTTCATCTTTATTTTCCTAGAATATTTCTTCAAGAAACTTCCCTAGAAATGTCATTTACTTATTTTTCCCATGTATATGAATGATAGTTTAGCTGAGTCGAATTATGTTTAAAATCATTTTTTTCCCTAAACTTTGATGACATTGCTCCACTGTCCTATGTCATTCAATGGTGCTAATGAAAAGGTTTCAGTCTTTTGTAAGTCATCTTACTTTTTTTTCTGTAATCTTCTAGAATCTTCTCTTTATTAATGTTGTTTTGGAATGTTCTAAGGATATGTCTGAGTGTGGTAATTTTACTTCAATTCATTCTGTTCAGTGTTCTATAAACTCCACCGTAAATTCAAATGTCTTTCTTTAGGTCTCAAAAATGTCTTTCTGTCATTTCTTTCCCAGTTTCCTTTCCACTATTTTCTCTGTTCTCTAATGGTCAGATAATAGATTTCTTTGACTGATCCTCTATATTGCTATTCTCTATTTTTTTTTTCTTGTCTCTGAAAATTTGCCCTTTATTCTGATCTTTTTACTTCATTTTGGTTCGGTAATGACATTTTAAATTTCTTTCTTGTTCTTAGTTGTTGTTTTTTTCTTTTCATAGTCTCCCATTATATTTGTTCTCAATGTTTTCTGAGGATATTAGAGTTCATTTTCTTAAGTTATTTTCTATTTCTTGAATTATCATCTTTTTTCTGTTGTTCGTGTTCCTTTTGTTTATCATGATGGGTATTTCTGAAATTACTGATTTTTATTATATATGATAAATCTTCATTTATTCATATTTAAGACTGAATATATGGGTTAATCTTCTTATGAAACTGCTATTAATTCTATAAATAAGTATTTCTTTAGAATTGAGAACCAACTCTTCTGTGTATACACCAGAATTCTCAACCAGCTAGCTTTACTTTAGCATAGAAGGGCAGAGAGCAGGTAGTTTGACTGGTAGTCTGTACTTCAAATGCTAAAATGTAGAGAGTTTCATCCTGGGAACCAAACTCATATTAGCAGTAAGTTCAGTAGCAGAAGAGCACTTATTTTATCCTGGAATTAATTAAATACAATTTCCTGTAACTTTGTATGTGGACTAGGGTAAGTGGGAAATGGGGGAAGTGACAACTGGTTCAGAAATTCCACAGAATTTCCGTTAACCTGCCTCTTTACAACTTTTATTTTCATTCTCACCCTAAATATCTGCCAATTCTAAGCCTGGAGTTTCATCGGAAAACAATTTTAATACCAAAAGATTCAAATGCAATTGATAAATTCAATAACCATCATTGATAAGACTACAGAAAATACTTGCTTAATATGATAAAGAATATCAACATAATTTTAAAAATTATACCTATATAAAACCAATAACCAATTTCATAATTAATGATAATACATTAGTCTATGGCATGGCAAGAGTGACACTTGTCACCATTATTATTTACAAATAATATTGTATTGTTTCAATGCAAGTATTGAGCAATGCAACTGGAAAAGATAATGGAAGTAGTAAAAGCTCTGGAGAATTCTGAGGCAGTATTGCTGAGTAAGTCCCTATTATACGATCCTGTCTCAGACAATGACTATAAAACTCTAGACAAGATACTCATAAGACAAACACACACACATATGCCTGCACGCACAAGTCACCTGAAGACCCTAAAGAGTAAACAAAAGAAGGTGACAAAGAAAAAACATAGAAACTTGTAATAACTGACTTGCCTGGAGCACAGTTGCTATTTTTATGGCTTTTAGCTTGAAGGGTGGATGAAATTAGCACTCCATGGGGCATCTAAAACTCCAATGGAAAACTTATGTAATTTTCTGGCCAGAAGAACTAGAGAGCAATGTTCAGGACAACTGAAGCTTTTACTCAGCCATCAGAAAGGATGAATACCCAACTTTTGCATCAATGTGGATGGGACTGGAGGAGATTATGCTGAGTGAAATAAGTCAAGCAGAGAAAGTCAATTACCATATGGTTTCACTTACTTGTGGAACATAAGAAATGACATGGAGGACATTAGGAGAAGCAAAGGAAAAGTGAATTGGGGGAAACTGTATGGGGAGATGAACCATGAGAAACCGTGGACTCCTAGAAGCAAACTGAAGGTTTTAGAGCGAAGGGTCGTGGGGGGATGGGTGAGTCTGGTGATGGGTATTAAGGAGGGCTCATATTGCATGGAGCACTGGGTATTGTACATAACAATGAAACTTGGACCACTGCATCAAAAACTAATGTGTATTTTATGGTGACTTACACAATATAAAAAATAAAAATAAAAAAATAAGAAAGGAAAGGTTAAAAAAAAAGTGAAGGGGGACTAATAGAAGAAAGCCAAAGATGGTAGGTAGCCCCTATCCAAGTCTCTCACTGACCCCTGAACCATGCATGTTTAGGGAGATTGCAGGCAACCCAGCCAAGGATATAACAACTGAACTGAAATTTGAGCTGCTGCTCCAAAGACAGAGGGCATTTTGAACCTGACCAAGTTAATTGTTAAAATAAAAACATCAATAATCTTTGTAGGGATAGAGTAGATCACCAAAGTCTCCCTCTATATTAGACATCTAATAGTATCTGAGACACTAACCTAGGAAAGGCTAGATCACTTTTTCCTGTTTTCCCCTTTTACTCAGAAGTATTCTGCTGCATCGACTCTTTGTATGAGTAAAGTTTCTGTTTAAACTAAGAAGCCTTTTTTGGCTCAGTATTTGAACTTCACACTTTCCTTGTATTTGGAGAAATAAATTTTATATATGAATATAATGGAGACAAAGAAAATAAAAGTTAGCAAAAAGTGTGAACATAGTCCAATTTTTTAATTTCTGTGGATTTGTTTCCTCCTCTATCAAGAGTTATTAACATTCATATCATAGGGGTGTTTTTGAGGATTAAGTGAACATTATATTTGGAAGTATTTAAAGAACCAAACAGCTGTTAGTTTTCATAATTAGATATGCCAGATGTGAATAATTAAATTTAAATTCTTTATCAATATACCTGGAAAGGAATAATTTCTAAGGTAGTTTTCTATTTTCCCTGATGTTTAGGTGAAGAATGCTAACCCTTTGTGTGACTTATATCCACAGAATACACAACCATGTAGAAGAACACTGGGTCCTACAGTCATTTCTCCTGTACCCAGGATTCAATCCAATGCTTACAAGAAGGAAAAAGACTCTACTTTATTTGCAGGTATATACTTTGTATTTTTATATGGAAATAGCTGAAAATTAACTGCATCTAACTTTAAGATATAAGTATTAAGAAAATTTTTAACCAAAGAATATCAGTATCTGATCATATCACCACATTATTTCTCTACTTAATAACATCTGAATGAGCTCTATTATAAAATGGTAAAATCAAGATTCCTTAGTATGGTATATAAGATTTTTCCAGACTTCTATTCTGTCTCTTTATCCTCACTGATAGGATCCTCACTCCAGTCATGATCTGTTCCGAATACTGTGTAATTTGATCCATTCTGGTCTCTATGCTCAGAACATATTTCTCCACCTGATAAATTCTTTTTTAAAATTTTAATTTAATTTTATAATTTTTTTAATTAACATATAATGTATTATTAGCCCCAGGGGTACAGGTCTGTGAATCGCCAGGTTTACACACTTCACAGCACTCCCCATAGCACATACCTTCCCCAATGTCCATAACCCCACCACCCTCTCCCTACTCCCCTCCCCCGACAACCCTCAGTTTGTTTTGTAAGATTAAGAGTCTCTTATGGTTTGTCTCCCTCCCGATCCCATCTTGTTTTATTTATACTTTCCCTACCTCCCAAACCCCTCATGTTGCCTCTCAACTTCCTCATATCAGGGAGATCATATGATAATTGTCTTTCTCTGATTGACTTATTTCACTGAGCATAATACCCTCTAGTTCCAGCCACGTCATTGCAAATGGCAAGATTTCATTTCTTTTGATGGTTGCATAGTATTCCATTGTGTGTGTGTGTGTGTGTGTGTGTATATATATATATATATATATATATATATATATATACCACCTCTTCTTTATCCATTTATCTGTTGATGGACATCTAGGTTCTTTCCATGGTTTGGCTGTTGTGGACATTGCTGCTATAAACATTTGTGTGCACGTGCCCCTTCCGATCACTACATTTGTATCTTTAGGGTAAATACCCAGTAGTGCAATTGCTGGGTCATAGGGGACCTCTATTTTCAACTTTTTGAGGAACCTCCATGCTCTTTTCCAGAGTGGTTGCACCAGCTTGCATTCCCACTAACAGTGTAGGAGGGTTCCCCTTTCTCCTCATCCTTGCCAGCATCTGTCATTTCCTGACTTGTTAATTTTAGCATTCTGACTGGTGTGAGGTGGTGTCTCATTGTGGTTTTGATTTGTATTTCCCTGATGCCGAGTGATGTGGAGCACTTTTTCATGTGTCTGTTGGCCATCTGGATGTCTTCTTTGCAGAAATGTCTGTTCATGTCCTCTGCCCATTTCATGATTGGTTATTTGTTCTTTGGGTGTTAAGTTTGATAAGTTCCTTATAGATTTTGGATACTAGCCCTTTATCTGATATGTTGTTTGCAAATATCTTCTCCCATTCTGTCAGTTGTCTTTTGGTTTTGTTAACTGTTTCCTTTGCTGTGCAAAAGCTTTTGATCTTGATGAAGTCCCAATAGTTCATTTTTGCCCTTGCTTCCATTGCCTTTGGCAATGTTTCTAGGAAGAAGTTGCTGCGGCTGAGGTCGAAGAGGTTACTACCTGTGTTCTCCTCAAGGATTTTGATGGATTCCTTTCTCACATTGAGGTCCTTCATCCATTTTGAGTCTATTTTTGTGTGTGGTATAAGGAAATGGTCCAGTTTCATTCTTCTGCATGTGGCTGTCCAATTTTCCCAACACCATTTGTTGAAGAGACTGTCTTTTTTCCATTGGACATTCTTTCCTGCTTTGTCAAAGATTAGTTGACCATAGAGTTGAGGGTCTATTTCTGGGCTCTCTATTCTGTTCCATTGATCTATGTGTCTGTTTTTGTGCCAGTACCATACTGTCTTGATGATGACAGCTTTGTAATAGAGCTTGAAGTCTGGAATTGGGATGCCACCAACTTTGGCTTTCTTTTTCAACATTTCTCTGGCTATTTGGGGTCTTTTCTGGTTCCATATAAATTTTAGGATTATTTGTTCCATTTCTTTGAAAAAAATGGATGGTATTTTGATAGGGATTTCATTAAACGTGTAGATTGCTTTAGGTAGCATAGACATTTTCATAATATTTTTTCTTCCAATCCATGAGCTTGGAACGTTTTTCCATTTCTTTGTGTCTTCCTCAATTTCTTTCATGAGTACTTTATAGTTTTCTGTGTATAGATTCATAGTCTCTTTGGTTAGGTTTATTCCTAGGTATCTTATAGTTTTGGGTGCAATTGTAAATGGGATTGACTCCTTAATTTCTCTTTCTTCTGTCTTGTTGTTGGTGTAGAGAAATGCAACTGATTTCTGTGCATTGATTTTATATCCTGACACTTTACTGAATTCCTGTACCAGTTCTAGCAGTTTTGGAGTGGAGTCTTTTGGGTTTTCCACATATAGTATCATATCATCTGCGAAGAGTGATAGTTTGACTTCTTCTTTGCCGATTTGGATGCCTTTAATTTCTTTTTGTTGTCTGATTGCTGAGGCTAGGACTTCTAGTACTCTGTTGAATAGCAGTGGTGATAACGGACATCCCTGCCGTGTTCCTGACCTTAGTGGAAATCCTTTCAGTTTTTCTCCATTGAGAATGATATTTGCGATGGGTTTTTCATAGATGGCTTTGATAATATTGAGGTATGTGCCCTCTATCCCTACACTTTGAAGAGTTTTGATCAGGAAGGGATGCTGTACTTTGTCAAATGCTTTTTCAGCATCTATTGAGAGTATCATATGGTTCTTGTTCTTTCTTTTATTAATGTGTTGTATCACATTGATTGATTTGTGGATGTTGAACCAACCTTGCAGCCCTGGAATAAATCCCACTTGGTCGTGGTGAATAATCCTTTTAATGTACTGTTGAATCCTATTGGCTAGTATTTTGGTGAGAATTTTTGCATCTGTGTTCATCAAGGATATTGGTCTGTAGTTCTCTTTTTTGATGGGATCCTTGTCTGGTTTGGGGATCAAGGTGATGCTGGCCTCGTAAAATGAGTTTGGAAGTTTTCCTTCCATTTCTATTTTTTGGAACAGTTTCAGGAGAATAGGAATTAGTTCTTCCTTAAATGTTTGGTAGAATTCCCCCAGGAAGCCGTCTGGCCCTAGGCTTTTGTTTGGAGATTTTTGATGACTGTTTCAATCTCCTTACTGGTTATGGGTCTGTTCAGGCTTTCTATTTCTTCCTGGTTCAGTTGTGGTAGTTTATATGTCTCTAGGAATGCATCCATTTCTTCCAGATTGTCAAATTTATTGGCATAGAGTTGCTCATAATATGTTCTTATGATTGTCTGTATTTCTTTGGTGTTCGTTGTGATCTCTCCTCTTTCATTCATGATTTTATTTATTTGGGTCCTTTCTCTTTTCTTTTTGATAAGTCTGGCCAGGGGTTTATCAATCTTATTAATTCTTTCAACGAACCAGCTCCTAGTTTCGTTGATTTGTTCTATTGTTTTTTTTGGTTTCTATTTCATTGATTTCTGCTCTGATCTTTATGACTTCTCTTCTCCTGCTGGGTTTAGGGTTTCTTTCTTGTTCTTTCTCCAGCTCCTTTAGGTGTAGGGTTAGGTTGTGTACCTGAGACCTTTCTTGTTTCTTGAGAAAGGCTTGTACTGCTATATATTTTCCTCTCAGGACTGCCTTTGTTGTGTTCCACAGATTTTGAACCGTTGTATTTTCATTATCATTTGTTTCCATGAATTTTTTCAATTCTTCTTTAATTTCCTGGTTGACCCATTCATTCTTTAGAAGGATGCTGTTTAGTCTCCATGTATTTGGGTTCTTTCCAAATTTCCTCTTGTGATTGAGTTCTAGCTTCAGAGCATTGTGGTCTAAAAATATGCAGGGAATGATCCCAATCTTTTGATACCGGTGGAGACCTGATTTAGGACCGAGGATGTGATCTATTCTGGAGAATGTTCCATGGGCACTAGAGAAGAATGTGTATTCTGTTGCTTTGGGATGAAATGTTCTGAATATATCTGTGATGTCCATCTGGTCCAGTGTGTCATTTAAGGCCTTTATTTCCTTGTTGATCTTTTGCTTGGATGATCTGTCCATTTCAGTGAGGGGAGTGTTAAAGTCCCCTACTATTATTATATTATTGTGGATGTGTTTCTTTGATTTTGTTATTAATTGGTTTATATAGTTGGCTGCTCCCACGTTAGGGGCATAGATATTTACAATTGTTAGATCTTCTTGTTGGACAGATCCTTTGAGTATGATATAGTGTCCTTCCTCATCTCTTATTATAGTCTTTGGCTTAAAATCTAATTGATCTGATATAAGGATTGCCACTCCTGCTTTCTTCTGATGTCCATTAGCATGGTAAATTCTTTTCCACCCCCTCACTTTAAATCTGAAGGTGTCTTCGGTTTTAAAATGAGTTTCTTGTAGGCAACATATAGATGGGTTTTGTTTTTTTATCCATTCTGATACCCTGTGTCTTTTGATTGGGGCATTTAGCCCATTAACATTCAGGGTAAGTATTGAGAGATATGAATTTAGTGCCATTGTATTGCCTGTAAGGTGACTGTTATTGTATATTGTTTCTGTTCCTTTCTGATCTACTACTTTTAGGCTCTCTCTTTGCTTAGAGGACCCCTTTCAATATTTCCTGTAGAGCTGGTTTGGTGTTTGCAAATGCTTTCAGTTTTTATTTGTCCTGGAAGCTTTTTATCTCTCCTTCTATTTTCAATGATAGCCTAGCTGGATATAGTATTCTTGGCTGCTTGTTTTTCTCGTTTAGTACTCTGAATATATCATGCCAGCCTTTTCTGGCCTGCCAGGTCTCTGTGGATAAGTCTGCTGCCAATCTAATATTTTTACCATTGTATGTTACCGACTTCTTTTCCCGGACTGCTTTCAGGATTTTCTCTTTGTCACTAAGACTTGTAAATTTTACTATTAGGTGACGGGGTGTGGACCTATTCTTATTGATTTTGAGGGGGGTTCTCTGAACCTCCTGGATTTTGATGCTTGTTCCCTTTGCCATATTGGGGAAATTCTCTCCAATAATTCT